TTGCTAGGATTACATAAGCTAACATATGTAAAGGGGTTCAAACAGTGCCTAGTACTTAGTAAGCTTACAATACTTGCTAATTATTGTTGTTCCAGTACAAAATGGATCTCTTGATAGATCCAAGGTCTTTGCCAGGTTTCCTCCAGAGCACATTTGGTGTGTTGGATAGGCCTTTGGGCTACTATTATTCTACTATGTCTATAGATACTCAAAAATACTAAAAATACTCCTAGGCTTATATTTGCCATTTTGCATTGGTAGTCTACCTATTCACACAAGCTCACCATATTCTTTCCTATCTCTGCACCTTTACTTGGGTCCTATCCTCTGCCTGAAATGCCTTTCTCTGATTATTGATCCTGTTATCCTTAAAGGCTCTTTTAAAATTTGGCCTCTTCTGTGAAGTTTCTAATCCAACCAGTTGGAATTAACTTTTTTTTCGTCTTTGTTGCCATGGTCTGGACCCCTAAATTCCTAGGCTTGAATATAGAAAGGCACTGCATCACCTATATACACTTTCTGGCTTCTCATGTCTCAAATGCCCAACCTAGCATACAAGGCCTTTCTTAGTTTGGCCCCCTGCTTATCTCTTCTACTTGCTTTATGCTGTTTTTTTTTTTCCTTTTGCTCACTCTTTTTCAAGCCATACCAGCCTTTTATCTTCTTGGAATATGCCACATTATTCTCCATCTCAGAACCTTTATACATGTTGCTTCTTCTGCTTGGAACTGCCTTGTACCTATTATCCACTTGGCTCACTACTTTTTATTTTTCAGTCTCACATTAAAAGTTACTTCCTTTGAGAAGTTTTCTTGACCTATCCAAGTCTGGTGGATTATGCTATCCTGTTTTGTGTTCTCCCTTCTCTCTGATCTCCCCCCTTTCTTGACACGTTTAAAAAATTTGTTTAATGGCTATTTTCCACCGCACTGTATATGTCAAGAAGGCAGGCGTTTTATATGTCTTGTTTACTTTTGCATCTTGACTACATTGCACCATGCCTGACACTAAGAAAACATTCAACATATATTTGTTTCATGAATAAATTTAATCAGACTTATTGTAGAGATGGAAATATGGAGGCCCAGAAAGGGAGAGAGATTTGCTCAAGGTCACACAGAGAATTAGTGGCAGAGAAAAGAATGTAGCCCAGATCTCCTGACTCTTAGTGCAGTTCTCTTTTCCAGATATGCACCTCCACTATTGTACTCATTTTTTGAACATGCTTATGTAGCATTCTGGTTTCTGGACTAGACTGTGAATTCCTAGAGGGTAGAGAACATGTCTTATACCTGTTTTGGTCAATACGGTAGTCACTAGCCACATATGGCAATTTAACACTAGAAACATGGCAAGTTCAAATTGAGATGTACTGTTTGTATAAAATACATACTACATTTCAAATAATGTAAAATATCTTATTAATAAATGCTTACATTGTTTACAGGTTGAAATAACATTGTGGATGTATTGAGCTAAATAAAATATGTTATTAAAATTAGTTTTGCTTATTAAAAATTTTAATGTGATTATTATAATAATTGTGGCTCACATTACATTTATGTTAGATTGTTGTACATTTCTGTCCTGTTGTATGTTTATTTTTTTCCCCCTTTTGCCAAGCATAGAGCTTTGTAGCCAGTAGGGGCTCAACACACCCTTGCTGAATATAGTTAAGCTGTAGTTATTGGGTTAATTGTTGCCATTTATCTTGTCAATATCACTGTTTTGTGGGAGCCTCACAGTGAAACCTCTGTCCCCAGGCCCAGGTGTACAAAAAGTTATTTAGTCCTGGCCTGCGGGTGCCCTACACATTGCACCAGCCTTTGTATTTCCTTTCAGAGAAAACCCTGATGCAATCCTATGCATAGCAATCACCAGGGTTGAGGTAGAGTGTGTGGACACCAGCCACTTGCACAGGAAGTGGCCTTAGCTTTGCAATTTTCCCTAGGGCCTCTTCTTGAAAGTCTTCTGAAAGGAAGTGGGGGGAAAGATAAACTCAAAGTGAAGGATGGGGGCTTCTCAGCTCCTTCATGAAGGTAGGGTAAGCTAAGCAATGTGGAGACATTGGGCTATGAGGTCTCTTTCTTTTGCTTATGCATTAACTCATTCACTTATTCACCTGACAGTTCTGGGATAAGTAGTTTATTCCTAGGCCTAAGAAGACAGTAAAGATCAAGCATAGTTCCTACTTTGGGGAGTGCTTGGTCTTCTTGGAGAGACTGACACCTAAGTGCAGTGTGAATGTTTTTCAAGAGTAGAGGAGGGCAAGGTGGGAAGCAACTAATTTTGCAGGTGGTTGTCAGAGAAGGCTTTCCAGAGACAGTGCGCATCATTTTTTCCTCTCTATCCTTTAAGATGGAGCCCAAATCCTACTCTTCTGAGAACCTTTCCAGTTACCATCACCTCCTCATCTTCTGCCCTGGGAGAATCTTATATACATATCTTCATGCCTTTGTCAAATTACTTATCATATTCTGTAGGGTAACATAGCTCTTGGGGTGCACACCTGTCTTCCATTTCCCTTTAGCCTGAGAATCCTTCAATCTGATGTGGGGACTAAGACTCAGACAGGCTGTGTATGTTTGTTTAAGGTCACATAATTAATGAGTTACAGAGCTTGGTCTATAACCTAGGGTCTAAGATGCAAGGACTCTAATTCAGTGTTCTTTCCATTCCAGTACTGAGGAAACAAATGAGTGTCTGCAGTGTGGGACCCCAGCACTGCCTGCTTGCTCCCCTTGTCAACTATTTTCCCTTCTTTCTCATCTCCCTCCACAGGCACAGGCAAGGCAGAAATCATACAAAATGGGAATACTTTGTGACTTTTGGTTACTCTCCTCAGAAGCCTGGACAACAGATCAAAAAGGAGAAGCTCCTTTGTGCTGTTATTGGAAATTTGGCCCTTCCCAGCATAGTTTGTGTTTGTGGGCTAAAGAGGAACTCTGAGCCCAGTTCCCTTTACTCTCATTCAGGCCCTATGCATAGGTGGTATGATTTTCAGAGCCTTCTGGTTCCTAATGCTCTCTTTTATTGCCCTGTTGTTGGGCTCAAAATGGATACCATTAATCACTACTTTAGGTAAACACATTGTCTCCAGAAACCCCTGTTAAAAGGCCTGTAGAGTACTCTGATTGATAGGGGAGAAAAAAAACATGTGTAGCTAAACTTAATCTCCATGGTGTGCATAGGAAGAAGGGGGTCCCTTTTTAGCAAAGTGCCCACAGGACCACCCTACTTCTGCTCCAAGCTTTAGTCAGAAACCAAAAAGAAACAAGAACTGAATCTTTCTAGAAGCTAGATCTGGGGTCTTGAGGCCTGAGCCAATAAATTATTCTGATAGAAGGAAGTTTTCTACAGAGTGATGTTAGTGCAAGTGAATCCCTATCTCAGGCTTCCACAGAGCCTCAGGTCCTACAACCACGGGGAAGCCCAGAGTGAGTAACGAAGAGCCACAAAGGAACCAGGGAATGTTTGAGTTAGAGTGATCTCCAAGACCATTTAGTCCAACCTCTGTTGGTTAAAGGAGAAACTAATGCCCCAGGAGGTAGTAGAGTAGGGACTGGGGCCCAGGGCTCTTGGCTCACAGGATGTGGTCTTTCTTTGAACCTGAATTTATAAGAATGTGTGTAGCTTGGAAAGATTATTTACCACAGCTTGAGTACCACTCAGGGCCATACTTCCACTAGTGTAGACAGAGGACTGTGCAGGGCACTGCAGTCATTGAAAGCTGTCAAAGTATACCCTGAAAACATTGCCCCTCCCATCCTTCATGCCATCAAGATTCATGGTGGAGGGCACTGCATGGTGGGAATTTGTCATCTTCCTGGCTGTTAATGGGGACTTCCTGGAGACTGCAAACATGAGGCACTAGGAAACCACTCACCCTCTTTTCACACTTTTCATGTCCCTCATTAGCCTGAAGGTCACAGTTGAACTTAGGGATCTGGCACTATCTTTTCTTTCTCAAAGTCAACTATTTTCTTCTCCCTTCCTTGTAGCCAGTGTGGGAAAGTAGAAGAAAACCTCAACATTTGGAGTTAGACCTGAGTGAAAAATCTGCCTTCTCTGTTATTTTCTAGTTTTGTTTCCTTAGACAAGTCACTTTATTTCTGTGTGCCTCAGTTTCCTCCCCTATAAATAAGAATAATAATACCATACCAGAAAGTAGTTGAATAAATTAGATAATACACATAAAAGAATATCATAAGTACTCTAATAATTGTAAATTTCCTTATTTATTTCCTTCTGCAAGCCCTAAGATGACAGAATGTGGCTTGTGGTCATAGCTGTGCCCCAGGGCCAGCTTCATAGGCATATGACCTGTACAGCTTCACAGGGCTCCATGCTTAGCAGGACCCCACACTTAGTTTAATGTTCTGCTGTCATCATCTTGATATTCTTAAGTTTTAAATAAGGACCCTATCATTTTCATGTTTTACTGCACCTTGCAAACTATGTAGCTGGTTCTATATGCCAGGAGAGATGTTGGAAATAAAATGGTATTCCAGGACCAGGAGGTATTCTGACAGAGTGAAAGAACACGTGATTTGGAGTCCATAGGGATGGGTTTAAATTTCAGCTTTGCCGCTAATTTGCTTTGTGATTCTGGGCATTTCCTTTTATCCCTTAGGGGCTCCATTTCTCAATTTTGACTACGGGTTTTTTCATTAGATAATGTCTCAGTTCTGGCATTCCAGATTTCCCTCAATTATTCTGGGAAAACCTCCTTGATCCACAGGCAGAGCCTAGGGCAGTCAGGTGCTTTCTACTGTCTCTCTCTGCAGCTTGGAAAGTTATTGTCTGTTGAAGGTCAGCTGGGAGTTGGTGGAGGCAGGGCAGTGGCCTGCTACTATTGCTGCAGTAGCAGACCCTTTCACAACAGCATTGTTTTGTCATTTTGCACCCAGATTTCCGTTGGCTAACCTCAGTCTTATCTTCCTCATTTCTGTTTCCTGTTGAAGACACCAAGGGCCCTTCAAAACACACAAGCTTCTTGCTCACGGCATAAAGCCCAATTCCCTCTGGCCCCTGCAGGTTGGCTCAGCACTGGGGAATCAGTGTCCCCTCCATGACCAAGGCACCACTCCACTGACAGGTATGGTATCCATTTGCCCTTTCTTCTTGGATTCCCAAGCTGGGGCAGTGTCCATGGCAGCCAAGGGTGGCTTGGATCTGCCCATCCCATTCTCTTCAGGCCCTCCTCAGGAATCAAGGTCAAAGGTGGGAGGAAGAAGGTTTCCACTGGCCTTTTATTCTAGAGCTTCTAGTAGAGGGGAAAAGGGGATAGGATATTTTCTATACAATAGGATGTTTAGGAGACAGTCACATGGAAATGGAATGTTCTTTGGACCCAGGAGTCGGGAAATCTTAGTAGCAGTCCTGATTTTACCATTTACCCAATGTGTATCTTTGTTTAAGTCCTTTCTCCAATCTAGGACACAGTTTTTTTCACCCCTTTTGCAAAATAAAAAATTAAAAAGAGGAAAAGAATGATTAGATAAATGCTGTCTAGAGACTCATAGTTATTAGATTCCTTATTTTCATGATTGTCAGCCCTCTGTCAAGAAAGAAGATGAGTGTAATCTTTGCATATGTAATTGTGGGGCGGGGGGACTGAACACATCCAAGAGGAGAGTGCTGGTGGTAATCCATATAGCACTCTCTGAGAGGCATGACTCGAAGATGAAAGCCTCTTTCTAGTCCAATCTTTGACTCCTAAAAGTTCAAAATTGAAAGGCTCTTAGGGACTAGGTACTTATGGAAAAAACTGAGGTCCAGAAAGAGGAAGAAAAGGACTTGCCCAAAGTCATACAGAGAATCTGTAGCAGAGCTGGGTGGCTCCCAGATCAGTCCTCTTTCTGCTCTATCCTAGGAGGACTGAGACATCAAGCAGCAGGACGTGTCCTGTAACTAACCCAGTTGGGCCTCCTCATACTAGAGGCAGTCTGGAAGTTTTAGGCATGGTCCTGAAGACTTCTTCTTTTCTTCTATTTTTCTTTCAGGTACTTGGTTCTCTCTGAGTGTTCAGAGATTCCTAGACACCTACTTACCCCTCGTTCTTCTGGTCTATTCCCTCCAATTCCTTCCATAAAAACTGACCCACCCTTTGTGTCAACAATAGAGGCTTGGTGAAGCTCTTCAATAGAGGATTTTGCATTTCATATGGGGAAAAATGATGTTATTCTAAGTAATATCTGCCGAAGAGAAGAGCTTTCAAATTCCCTTAATATCATCCCACATAGACATTTATCTCTTCTTTCTATGGGTCTGGTGAACATTTCTCAACTGAATCTGATTTTCTTACACACACTCCATTGGAGAGGCATGGACTAGAACAGCAAGAGTGGAAATGAAATCAGTTTAGTTTCAGCTCAGCTACTAACTCCTTCCATTAATACTGGAGCAATATTGTCTATAAGGCTTTCCAAACTTCAAAGTACTAATAATTTTTTGCCCCTTTCATGCCTCCTTTCCAGGGTTTCTGGAGGTGAATAAAGTCAGAAAGGGCATTCAAAAGGCTGTGAACACCTCCACCTTATATAGGTCTTCTTACTGGAGCTGGCAGCCAATGAGGGTAATGATACAAAAAAGGTAACAATCCATTTCTTTCTTCCCTGCCATCCCCAACTTAGACTCTGTTAATCAGCATGCTTGGCTGGCCTCCAATCACAGGTCCAGGAGCTGAGACAAGGGTCCTTTTGAGCTCCTATGTGGGAGGCTCTGGAAAGCTTAGCAACACTTTCCAACAACTTTGCCAGGTAAGTCTTCTTGTCCCCATTTCCAGAGAAGACAACTGAAGCCCAAAGAAAGACTTGCCAAAGCCATGATTGGCTAGTTGATGGCCAAGACAGCATTAGAACACAAGTTTGTCTGATTCTTTCATGGCATATCTGGTGACCATGACTGCTGCTTTTGCTGCTGGTTGGCTTAGGCTGAATTGGGTAGGTAGAAAGGGAAGTGAGGGGGTGAAAGAGCTTTAGTTTTGAGATTACTACCAGAACTTAAATTGAAGGGGTATGTTACACCCTTACATTCAATTAAAAGAAATGAGCAAGAAAAAATACAGTGTTTTCTTGCTGAAAGACAAGGCTGAATCCCTCTGTCTTGCCTTGGCTGGGACAAGGCTTTCCGGCCTCATGGGGACAGTTTACCATTTCTGGTAACCTTGGGAAGTTTGCAACTTTTCATGACACTATTTAATGTAGACCAGCTACCTGCTCACAGATCAACTGCCACAGCTGGTAAGGGCAGTAATTTGATACCAGCAGGCTGGCATTTTTAGCAACAGGATCTGATTGTTGCCAAGGGAATTGTCCCAGAAGTCTCAGACCTGACCCTGCTCCTGGCAGCTTCCTTATTGCCCTGGTGGCTTGTGGGTTCACTGATCCCAAATGCTGCATTGCAAAGCTATTGCCTGTTTTTGCCCTCTTTGTTGATGTGTCTCGCCTTTCCTAGAGGGATATACAGAGAAGGGAGGCAAAATAACCAATGAGGAAAGCTGTATAAGCCATACTGCTGAACTGTAAAAAACTTATTGCGTAAACTTTACAAGTCTCCTCCCCAACATGAACCTTTGTTCTCTCATTTATAACCTAAGTGAGTGAGACTAGATGATCTTTAAGGGCACTTTAATAGCTGCCATTCTTGAGTCCCTATGGGACAAGAGGATCAAGTTAGGCAAGGCTGAGACCACAAGAAATCAATGTCACACCTGTCCAGATCCTGCTAAATCAATTGCCAATAGCTCTTTCTTTCATTTCAGTGGTACAACCACTGCTTTTTGAGTATTTTTTATGTATTGAATACTGAACCAAAGGCTTTACATGCATTATCTCCTGTCATTCTCACAATAATCTTATGAGGTAGGTACTATACTTAATACATTTTGTGGGTGTAGCAAACTTGAACTCACAGAGGCGAAATGATTGATCGAAGGTTGCCTAGCTAGCTAATGGAAGAACTAGGATTTAAGCTCACGTTTAACCTCAAAGCCTATGTGCATAACCACAACACTGTGAAAACACAGCTTGGGAGAATTGAGAAGAGTGAGCAAGGATGCTGTCTCTGGGGTCTGGTACTTTCCTCAAGTCAGGGAGGCAGGATGATGACCAAATTTTCCCCTCTTTGCTGCATAGAGGAACCCACTGAAGCTTGGGACCCCTAGAAATGCCATAGCTACAGGATTCAGGCCTGATGAGCTTCCAGCTGAGCACCGGGTGTCACTTGGGCTTTACCTGCTTATCCTCAGGATCTCTATTCTGGTTAGGAACCTTATGCCTGTTTTGCTCACTTTCGTATTCTGGTGCTTTGTCTGGTTCTTTCAGCAAGCTCCCTGGGGCTAAGGGTGTGACTTCATCACTCCTTTCTCTCTCTTTCCCTCTAGGGTCGTATCTCCCAGGAAGATCTCACTTCCCCACAGAATCTCCTGGCCCGGCCTCCTGCAGTGCCACGCTCCGTGTATTTGACAAGCTGAGTTGGACACTCCGTGTGGTAGAGTGTCAGTTTGTCAAATACCCCAAGTGCGGCATATGCTTACCAGCTCCAGGCCAGGGCAGATGGCATATGACGAATGGACTGCCAGCTGGATACAAGGATGCTCACCAAGCACCAAGTTCTCACAAGTTATTTTATGTGACTCTGCAGGAACTGAGGCATTTTTTTTCTGAGGACACCAGAGAAAAAGTGTAGCATCTCTGGGAAATACAGCCCTGGGCTGAGTCTACACACACCATGAGAGTGCTGATGGTGGTGCAATAGACTTGAAAATGTATAATGGGTTCAAGAATGGAAGTGCCCTTTGATTCTTTATTATTTTCTTCCTTCACATTCCCCTCCCAGATTCTCCCATGTAGGACATCAGAATTCTCACACAAGCATCATGGTTTATGTGAGTAAGCAGGGGTTAGAAATTCACTTTCTTGACACTCAGTCTTGCCTTCTAAATACTCCTTGATCTTGCCTACCTCTTCCCTTTTCCACAAGTCTTTTCCTCTAGGAACCCTTTCTCCGTTTATTTCTGCCTATCCAGTTCTTCCCTATATTTCCTGTATCAGCTAAAGTCCAGTGTTTCCAGAGACTTTTGAAAGTCAACTTATACTTTTTCCTCCTTCATTCACAAAGCACTTCTTGCCTGGGCCCTGGTATGTGCCCCTTTCTCTCCTACTGTCTAACAGCAGTAGGAGAGAATTGCCCTCTTGAATTGTCAGTGACAACTGACAACTCTTGAATTGTCAGGGGGTTTTCTTGAATTCCCAACTAGATTGTGAGCTTCTAGAAGACAAGGCTATGTCTTTGATTGCTGTCTCCCCTACCAAAACCCAGTACTTTAGTTACAGAAAATAATAAACATTTACCGATTGACTGGCTTTCCTCTAGTCCACTAGCTTTGGGTTTAGGCTTTGGGGCCAAATTGTACTCTGGATTTTGAAAAAAAATCAAACTGTGAACACCGCAATGTTATAGAGCATATGAGGTAGTAGCCAGCATGAAGGATATTTTTATTCCTGAGAAACAGTGTCAAGGGCTGGAGGAAGAAGGCAAAATAGCAGACTCAGAGGGCAAATAAATTTTGGTATTACTTGATTACACAGAGTTATACAGGTGCTTTCTTGTAGGATTTTTCAGAGCCTTTAATAGTCTAACGTTGCATTGAGAAACTCAAAGAGGAAACCATAGAATGAGGCCTTTGCCACACCTATCTGATCATGAATTTCTTTTCTCCCACAGGCCTTCTCCTGTGTCAATGTCCAATGAAGCATGATTTGGGAAACTGTCGTAGAGAAACTTTATACCTTCCCTATCTTCTGGAGATCTTTTCCTCTTTTCACTCATCTACTTTCCCCAACCAGCCATCTGCCTAAGAAAGGTCCCCACCTGATTTTTGTTTAGCCTATCCTGCAGCTGTGGACTATCTCTATTACATAGGAATTCTTTACTAGCTTGTCCTGTATTTAAAAAAATTCTCAGTTTTGAAGCAAAGGTGATCCAGATGCTGCAATAAATACATGCACTGAGGAGTTCACAGGCCTGACCTTTGGTCTCTGTTCTACCACTAACTGTGTTTTTGTTCCTCTCTGAGCTTCATTTTCTCATCTTTAATAAGGGAGTATTAGAATCAGTAATCTTTAGGCTCTTTAAGACGAATGACTGAGATATCCCTGGGAATCCTTAGCTCTTATGGAGAAGCATCCCTGGATGTGTGGCTCCTTTTACCGGTGAAAATGCAACCAGGATTCTCTTTCCAACACCTGGAACTCATTTTTCTATGGGTAGTAGGGAAAGATAATGGTTATTTTCAAAGGCTATAGGGTCTGGACACAAAGTTGTTTCATGAAGGAAGTTGAGGTTTCCACTGGGTGGAGACCCTATTTCAGAGGCTTGTAAGCACGACAGGGAAGAAAGAGTTGTTCCTTTTGCCAACTAGGAGAAGCTAGCGTCTGGAATGAAGAAAATGTTGAGGTTTTACCATGGATTTAGTATGTTGGGTGGTGAAGTGGAGGACTCCTTTTTGTTACTTTTGTGTACTATTTTGACTTCTGTAATCATCGCAAAAGGGGAGCAACTCCTTGTGAAACATGAACTGACCTAGGGGCTGCGTGGGAACCAGAAGTAGCAACATGGCAACTTCCTTGAAGAGTGCAGAAGTTGATTTGACATTAATCACACGGAGAAAACAAAGCTATGTCGACCTGGGTCAGAACAGGTCCTCCTCACAGGGGAGCCTGATTTAAAAGTGTAGGTGTAGGAACTTACGTACACATACAAACTCTCTCTCTCTCTCTCTCTCTCTCACACACACACACACACACACACACACACTTCCTAGCCCTATTCCTCCTTGAAGAGAAAGGCTTTCTTGCTCTTATCCCCACCTCACATTGTAAGAAGGGGACAGGAGCTAAAGCAGATAACCTGTGAAAAATGCAACTACCCCCAAAATTTTAAGCTTCAAAGAAGTGGAAGTGGTGCATCCATACTTTGGAAAGAAGGAAATCCCTTCGTCTCTGCATTCATAGTCCCCTGAGACAGAAAGACTTTTTATTTTCTTTTTTTTCTTTTTTCTTTTTTCTGAGGCAGAGTCTCGCTCTGTGGCCCAGGCTGGAGTGCAGTGGCGCGATCTCAGTTCACTGCAAGCTCCGCCTCCCGGGTTCAAGCCATTCTCCTGCCTCAGTGTCCCAAGTAGCTGGGACTACAGGCGCCCGCCACCACGCCCGGCTGATTTTTTTGTACTTTTAGTAGAGACGGGGTTTCGCCGTGTTAGCCAGGATGGTCTCGATCTCCTGACCTCGTGATCTGCCCTCCTTGGCCTCCCAAAGTGCTGGGATTGCAGGTGTGAGCCACCGCGCCCAGCCCAGGACTTTTTCTTTCTCAGGCTTCCAGTTGATGTGGGAAGAATCATCCAGGTGGACCTGGCAGGATGACATGTTGGGTAAGGGAAGCCAGGGGAGTACTGTTTAATCAGGTATTCACTGTGCTCCAGCTGGACTTACCAGTGGAGTGAAGTAGGAGTGGCATGTGTGGGAAGGGAAAAGACCAAAAAAGCAAAAGTGACATTCATACTCTCAGGGGCCCCAGGCTTCTTAACTAGTCTCACTTTAATTACTTTTAGTAGTTCCTATCATACTGTGAGAGAAGACCAACATGACTGAAGTTGCTGTTATGATTATTTATTGAGCACCAGAAGAGAGTCAGAACATTAGACTTACAGTGTAGGAGCAGAACTGAACCCTGGTCTGTGAAATGACAATTTCAATTAAAAGCTGTCTGGCCCTGAAGAAAGAGAAATGATCCTGGATACAATTGGTCCTCTGAGCTGGCAGAGCTGAGCCTCCCTCTGGTCTTCTGGTGGCAAGATGCCAAAGTTGAATAGTGTCTGTAGGCATGATGACCAAGTCCCAGTGCTATGGGCATCTTCCTTCTGGTATTTAGAGAGGAGTACCAGAAGCCCCCAGCAGAGATACTAGAAGGGTACAGGGCCAAATCCAGCAGCTGGCTTACTTGAGATGCATCTGGCAAATTCTAAGGCAAAGCCAGTGACTCCCAGGGGCCCCAGTGTTGGCAGGGCAGACACTTTGGGCTACCCAGGAAGATATGTAGCAGGGAAGAAGGCCATGCAGAAGGCAAGGACTGAATAGACAATTATGTCAGCAGATCCTGGCCTAGTGGGGCATTTTTAACAGGCAGTCTTGCCCTCAGTGGCCAGAAACTCATAATCCAGAGGAACTGTGTCCAGTAGGCGGGCGTAGTCGCCATTGATCTGGGCGATGATCTGGTACTCCTGTCCTATGCAGGGCTCATCAGAGTAGTTGTTGCCCAGATTCTGAGAAGCTGGTTCATCACTGGGGCAGCCACTTGCGAAGATGGCCACCCTCATGGTATCTCCAGAGTCGTTGGCCTCTCTGGCATGTACCCTATGGCCCAAGAGCCCACCACCCATAAGAAGGGGCTTGGGGCTGGTGTCCTGGTTTCCCACCCTTCTGCCTGAATTCTTGCCAATTAATTCGCAGGATCCTGCCACCCAGGGATTCTGGAAGCAGAAGGCAGATGGATCTAAATTATCCTTTGTGTTCAGGGGGCCACAACAACCTCAGGAGGTGCCTGAGAGAGGGAAGACAGCTATGTTCTGACTCTGAAGGCCTCTGGCCTTAGGACTGGGTCTGTGCCACATCCCCCTTCCTCCATGTTTCCTGCCAGTAATCAAAATTGAGGGCAAGGATGGGTAAAAATGGAAGAGGAGAGGCTTTCTTACCTGGCCGCTTCATAGACATGCTCTAGAAAAGAAGGAGGAATCATGTCAAAAGTTTTCAGAGCAAGTGGACAAAGGTCAAGCATGGATCCCGGGTACCAGTCAAAAGATGAGGGAAGGGTACAGGGGAGGGGATTTTAATATGTCTCAGCTTTCCAACACCTGGTAGGTATTGGGGAGATGAATTGAAACACAGAGATGCAAATTTATCAGGTAAAGGAAGGGGAAGCACATATGGTCACTATCCCTTTTGTCATCTTGGACTCAGGATATTGGGCTGGAGCAGTTTCTGGGTATGGGTTTAGGGAGGGTACTGGTACTGGACCTGCTCTTTACCCAGGAATCTCCCCCCAAGAATCCCCAGAGAGTCCTTGTGGGAAACTTGACTGTAAGGCCGGATACCAGGAAGAAGGGGCTGGATTAGCCTGATGCCGATGACCATGACCCGAGCCACTCCCAAATGCACTCATTCCCACCATATACCCAGGAAAAACCATGGTATTGGTCACTATTGCCCCCTAGAGTCTGTGGAGGAGGAGTGTCCTATATTCCGTACAGGTTCAAAGGCTTAGGTTAGTGCAAAGACAGATGTTTCTTGGTACTGCCCTCTAGGTGCTTATAATTTTTCGGGGATGCAACTAGAAATTCAAGCATTAAATGACAACAAAGTAAACAAGAGAAACCACAGGAATTCTGCCTTATGGTAGAGCCCTGCATTTCTGTGTCTTGCCTTCCCCATTGGCCTATGAGCACCTGTACTGCAAGGGTCGTGACTTTTTCATCTTAATATGCCCAGCACCTGTCACACAATAGGTGCTCAGTAATTATGTTAAATTAAATTGATGCCCTGAGGCCGTCTCCCTTATAGAAAGATAGGAAAGAGGAATTTTTGGAAATGAGACTAGGTATAAGGAAGTGGTGGGTGTTGAGAAAATTGGCTAGAGCCACATCACAGAGAGCCTGGAATAGAATGCTGCATTTTGACCTATATCCCCTGGGCCATAAGAAACCATGGAAGGTTTTTGAGAGAGAAACAATTTAATGTGGTTACCGTTTATGCCTAGCCTCATCAAGACTATATGAGAATACTTTCATTTTAGTGCCCCTGGGGTTTGTGGTCATGTGAGGCATCTGCTATCAAGTTCAGCCTCATGGTGATAGCCATGCTAACTGGCAAAAGCCAGAGCTTATAATTAAAACCTGGGAGGAGATATTCAAGGCTCCCTTCTGATGGTGGAAATCCATCAGACCCATGGTAGTAACCAGGCTATTTTGGAGTAAGAGATAGTACAGAGAATAAGACAAACTGATGTTAGGCAAAATGACTAGTGCACTGGGCATTGAGAGATAGCTAGTTTTTTTTTGTTTTTTTTGTTTTTTTTTCCTTTTAGAAACAAGCATCCCAAGTTTTTTTCCTCCTTGGTTGGTTCATAGTTTTTAAATGGCCCTGACAGCTGTGCTGTCATTATGCCACTTCCATGCTTGAAAAAATTGGTAATTTTTAGTACCCTTGCAAGGCCTGGTGAAGAAAGTCCAAATTATTTAACCTGGCATTTAAGGCCTTCTATAATCAGGAATAAACTTTCCTTTCCCACTGCACTTCTCTGTTGCCCATCTACAGAAGTTTTCTTTATTGATGACCCCACTCCCAGTTGTCTTTTAGGCCCTTACAACTTTGCTGATGTAGTTCTCTCTTCCTGAAATATTGTCTCCTTACAAATTGTTTTCATCCTCCAAAATGTGGTCTAAGATATTATTCCTTCTGAAATCCCTTGCTAATTACTCAAGCCTTAAATGGCTCTCTTCTCCTCTGGATCCCTTTAGCATTGATTATCTTCTCTAGTTTTTGAGCTTATAGCCTCTATTGCTATATATTGTTATTGATAAATTCCATGTTTCTACCTTGAATCTCCTAAATAAATTGTAAGCAACTCGAGGGCAGGGATTGTGACTTCTCTTTCTCTTGCATCATTACAAGGTGACTCATTAGAAAGATGGCTGTACTTGACTGAGTACCAAAGCCTAGTGCTTTTAGTTCTATAAGTCTTATGCCATTGTTTGCTTGAACATCTGTCTCCCTGCACCCCCACCTTCACTCCCAAACTAGGCTGGGAGCTTCTTGAAGTGCCTAACACAATGCCTGATACAGAATTTAAGCTCAAGTATACTGACAGAAAGAACAAATCAGCCAAAGCCACCTTCTCATATTCATGACTAACCTTGTTGGGATGTCTTCCGACAGAGCATGATATAGGCCATGGTAAAAACCACCAT